TTTGGCGGCGCTGTGCGCCGCCGTTTTCTTGCTATTCAGGAAAAACCACAGGGGGGGGGGGAAATTGACCCCCCCAGCGGGGCGAGGGTTAAGTATAAGAAGAGCATACATATACTGTTTAAGCGGCATCACTTTGCATTTGAAAAGAGCGGGAACATACACTGCATAAATGTGGACATGTGGTTGTAAAACGTTGAGCCGGAATATAAAAACATACGCCCTAGTTTTAAAAGCCTGAACTTGGATCCAGGGGGAGAGATTAAGTCATATTACTTAAGTCATAGACCCGCTTTTCACCACCACAGCCCACGCTCCACCCCCCCCCCCCCCGGTCAACGCCTTTTCCACTGCTGGTTTTTCCCTCCCCCCCCCCCGGTCAGCACCTTTCGTCGCCGCCCCCACCGGCGTCCGTGGCTCAGCCCCCCCCCCCCAACCTATTTTGCGATCCTACACCCCTGGCTTGTAGTCCGTACATTTTTAAGTTGCAATGATATATTGACGCGAATCGAGCATTAGCAGCGGTAAGCAGCGCAACGCAAAGACGTAACCGTCCGGCGCCGGCAGTGAAAATCGGCCAGCACCGCCCGCGTCGCCACTCCGGAGGGATTTTTGACTGTACACCCCTGTTACTAAAAAAGAGGTTGCACACCGATTTACTCATTGCTTTCATGGCAAGATGCAGAATTCAATTTTAGGCATGTACTGTACTTAAAATTTGACGTTAACCCGCGACCTGGTGGGGGGGGGGGCTATTTTTTGCCCCCCCCCTCCAGACTTTTCGATATATCTCCAGAACCGCTGCGCCGATCGTCACCAAACTTTCAGTACCCTCCCGGACATCAATTTTACACATTGTGACCAAATATTTTTCCAAAGGCTATGATAGGTTGGCCGGAAATGGCGTCAGAGTGACGTCATATTCTGCCGTTTTCGACCCAAAAAAGGGTTTCGCGGGAAGAGCTATCAGGCCTATAGCTTTGCAAATACAGAAAAATGATAAGGACATAAAAGCTGTAGAATCGACAGGGCTACAAAACTGCTATCTCGGATTTTTGAAATGTTTGGATTTTGACCCCCAAAAATCAAAAAATATATTTTTTGGATAAAATAATCGAAAAATCCAAAAAGTGTTTTGAATTTCGCAAAAACCGGAATATATGTGATATTCCTTACCATCTTCCATCCACATACCAAATTTGAGATTGATAACTCCTTTTTTGGCGAAGTTATAGCGAAAAAACTGTTCAAAATTGATGACGTCAAATTTTCAAACTCAATTTTTAGCAATTCTAGACCCCGTAGCGCAAAACAAAGACCACCATTAGACTCCCCGTGACGAGCTGCATCGAATAAATACCCATTTTATGCAAAACTATCAACTTTAAAATTTGACCTTTTTTGGCCTGACCTTGACCTGACCTTGACCTGAACTTCACCAGAAAGTGACCTAAGCCGTACCTGATAGTCTTATAACCAACACCATTGAGTTGAAAATGAAAAAATTGGCCATAAAACATGCATCACACAACCTCAGTAAAGTTGGCTCATGTGACCTGACCTGTGACCCTTGGTGACCTGACCTGTGACCTGACCTGGTACTGTCAGTGACCTCTAATAACAACATATCTACTAGGCAACTGACGCCCTATCGCTGATTCTCACCAAAATGCGTTTTCCTCGGTGTTATAGCGCTTTCCCTAGAAGACCCGTGAACGGTGAAACATTTCATCTTTGACCTGACCTGTGACGTCATCGGTGACCCCGAGGTCAATGAAATTTGGTTTCCTTCGACAAATTTGACAGGCCTTTCGAACGCCGTTTGAATTTTGTGAATTTTGCGGATCCGTCCAGTAGTTTCGGAGATACGAGGGGGCAAAAAATAGCCCCCCCCCCCCCACCAGGTCGCGTTATAAACAGACCCCACCAGGGCGCGGGTTAATTAGATGATAATGGCGTGAGATATTTGCGAGAAAAAAAACAGGAGGGGTTGGCAAAATTCGCCCCCCCCCCCCTCCACTTCGGCAAGGTCCTGTACTTTCTCAGAAGGGTCAGGTGACATCCTTCACTAATATTTTTGGCGCTCCTACACCCATGGCTCCGATCCTGTATAGTAGGCTTTGGCAATGCGCAACTCTTGCCATCCAGATGATTCGGCATTAGAAATCCCATTTACTTGTAGCATAGCTATTGTTCTCAATATCCTGAAGAATTTAGCTGCCACTTTTTGCGACTCTTTGAGTTATTGAAGTTTTTGTAACACATAACTGGTCGATTTTGGGGGGCACGTCAGCTGGTGAATAGTTAGAGGTGGTTTGGCACACCTTGATATCTCGAGAACCGCCCGACCGACTTCAGTGGAACAAACAACATCCGATTCGTCTAATCAAAAGCTACATTATTCTACCAAAAAAGTTCAAAAATTTGCAATTTGTGAGAACAAGAAATCAAAAACGACTATGTAAAAGTCGCTGTGTTTTTACATATGTTCAGAAGTCTAGGACGTCGTTGTTTCTTGGACAATATCAACCAAATTTTCAAACTAGCTTTCTCAAGAGTGTCACTACGTTTCAATGATAAGAGTTTTAGAAAATCATAGGCGTGTTCAGGTAGGCAAAACGGGAGGGGGAATATTTTGTGTGCTTAACTTTGTTAGCTATATATCGTATGACATGTTTTGCAATGATAATTTAAGACCTGCAACACCTAACAATAATGCCTCTGCCAGGAGAGGTGAATCTGTGCGATATGTTAGTCGTGGGAAGTGCACCACAGAAAATAGGTACCACTTCTGATACCAATCAACACTGTCTTTGTAAATTACCCCCTACCGCCCTCGCTCCCACTCACAGACACAGCACACTCACACATTCCTTTCACTCAGTCATCCTTTCCATCCACCTACTCAAGGTTGCATTGCCTACTATTCCTATGATGTAGAAATGGAGAGACTGTGTGTGTGTGTGTGTGTGTGTGTGTGTGTGTGTGTGTGTGTGTGTGTGTGTGTGTGTGTGTGTGTGTGTGTGTGTGTGTGTGTGTGTGTGTGTGTGTGTGTGTGTGTGTGTGTGTGTGTGTGTGTGTGTGTGTGTGTGTGTGTGTGTGTGTGTGTGTGTGTGTGTGTGTGTGTGTGTGCGTGTGCGTGTGCGTGTGCGTGTGCGTGTGCGTGTGCGTGTGTGAGAGAGAGAGAGAGAGAGAGAGAGAGAGAGAGAGAGAGAGAGAGAGAGAGAGAGAGAGAGAGAGAGAGAGAGAGAGAGAGAGAGAGAGAGAGAGAGAGAGAGAGAGAGACATAATTGTGAATGTCCTGTTGAACACCTACGTAGTCCTATGCAATCATATGATTGCAAAACTGGCCCACGTAGTTTGCAACGAAGTGGGATATCCGTAGCGGACGCCTAGTTGATCGGTACCTAAGTCATTAGTTACTTTGAAAAGGTCACAGTAGTTTTCACTTTCAGCTTTCCATCCTGTTATAAGCCTATGGGGAAGGCATTGTTTGCTTTATTGCATATTGCAATGAAAACACAGCAGTTTCTGACATAAAACACAATGTCAGGTGGAGCGCAATGAAGTGTTCTACAAAATGAGAGGTTACAAGCTCAGTTCTTTGGAGCCTAACTCGAGATATAAGCCATGACGTGCTAGAATAGCGAAATCGCCTACTGTGCGCTGGCGAGAACCTGCGCTCAGGTGTGTGTGGAGGGGAGGGGGGGTAGAGGACATCAGATCCAGCACCTCCCCGCTGGCGAGAACCTGTGCCCAAGTGTGTGTGTGTGTGGGGGGGGGGGGGTAGAGGACATCAGATCCAGCACCTCCCCGCTGGCGAGAACCTGTTCTCTTGTGTGGGGGTGGGGGGGGGGGGGTAGGTAAGGCGCTTACAGAGAAGAGCGTAAGATTTATTGAGGGCAAATAGCCTAGAGACTAGGGTTACCCGCGTGCTCCGCAACGCGAAGAAGGGTTATTTTTCACCCGTGGGTATTGGGTTGGTCTATGTCGATTTGGTTGGTATCCATTTCGTTCGATTGCTTTTTGACGGCCAAGCATTTTGTGATGAAACAAAAAAGATCCATCGCATCGAGGTGCCCGTGTCGGATTATCATGCGTTCTTCTATAGAATGTTTCGAAAACTGTCGTGAAGATGGAAACCAGTATAACGCCTTTTGGGGCGACTAACGGAGCGAGCGAGAGGGTGAGCCTTGCACGTGCGAAATTTCGAGGGGGTACCTCCAGCTGACTTGTGCACGGCACCCTACTAACCGGTCTCTAGCGATGTGCCAAATTTGAGTACAATCGGCCCAGCCGTTCTCGAGATCTGGAAGCGGCACCCTGCACGTGCGCACGTGCAAAATGGGTCCCAACTGACTTTTGCACGGCACCCTACTAACCGGTCCCTAACCATGTGCCAAATTTGAGCGCCATCGGTCCAGCCGTTCTCGAGATCTGGAATCGACCCCTGCACGTGCGCACGTGCAGCAGCACCCCAACTCTGGCACATGGATATGCATTGCCTAGTGGGTGCCTACCTACATGCCAACTTTCAGCGCAATCGGCCAAGTAGTTACCGAGATATTGCAACAATTACAAAAGTGACACCTCTTCGTTTTGCACGTGGCACGTGCATAAGGGGTCACCCACATGCATCGGGAATAGTCCAATACTTGGTAGAAGGAATGAAGCTACCCTACAAAAATTACCGCATGTAAATCGGTCAAGTGGTTGGTGAGATATAAGCGTCGCAGAAGCGTGACCACGGCCGGCCGGCCGGCCGGCCGGCCGCTCATACTCAGAAATTTCCGTTTTTTTTTTTTTAGATTATGATGTATTTGGTCACATAGTTTACATATAACACATTTTTGACTTGAAGAAATAGCACGTGATATCACCATACACTATTTACACGCACGCGCGCACACACACACGACCGCACATACACTCATACGCAAGTAGGCGGTCAGGGTCGTTCCGCCGCCGGTGCCGCTCAGAACCTGTGCCCCCTGCCGCGTCCGTCACAGTGCCCCGTCAGCACCCTCCACGCTGACTACTTGGTTGCATAGGTCTTTGTGGAGGTAAAAGAAAATATAGCCGTTTCTCTGGGGTCCATTAACCAGAACGTCGGTCTCGTCGACACAGCTGACTCGGCGATCGTCATAGTGGAACCATCGGTCCCTGCCGACGCTGTATACGTCCGACACGTAGTGTCCGGAGTGCGTGGCGCTGCCGTAGTGGCTGACGACGCTCACCAGCCGGTAGGTAAAGTCGCCGGCCAGGTCCACTGAAGAGAGAGACTGGTCGTCTTTCATGGAGTCGGCGTCCAGCACCACACGCTCGGCCTGCGCTGACGGCGGCGGCGGCTCGGCACCGGTCGTCGGTGGCGGTCTCTGGCAGGCCAGCGGTACCGGCCGGCACCGACGACGGTCCACGGGCGGTGGACGACGGCGACGGACCCGAGCTGGGCGCCTCAGACTCCTCGAAGTCGGAGAGGGTGTACAAGGGAGGTTTTGTGCACTTCCACTCGGGAGGCCGGGTGACGTCGTCCGCGACGTGCTCGTTCAGCGAAAGGAACTTGGGAATGCCGACATATGCGCAGATTTTCTTCGAGTCCTCCCCAAGGAAGGCGTACCGGTTGAGCTGGAGTATCAGCGTCCTGGGCAGCTGGCTGATTTTGGTGGTGACACGGCACTCGTCATGGCGGCAGTGCTGACAGAGTAGCTCGCGCCGGTCAGGCTGCATGCTCAGCCGCAGTGCGTCCTGCAGCGTGGGCGCCTCTGTGCCCTGACGGCGCGGCACGCTGACAAACCAGCTAATGTCCTCTTGCCGTTTCTGCACGGTTTCATGGCAATTGGTGCACATATAACTCTCGACGGTCTGGTACTGGAAGTTGTCTCGCACCGGGTTGTCGGTTGTCCGCCGCGCGTCGATCTCTTCCTTCGTGGTGTCTAGCAGGCGAAGCAAGAACTCGTTGGCGTCCTGCATCTCACTCCCTTGGAACGCCGGGTCGATGTCGGCGAACACGTTGCGAAGGTCATTAAGATGGTTGGCGACTGATTTGCTGAGCGCCTTCTGGCGCAGCACCATCAGTTTGGCGACGGCGCGCATCGTGCGGCCCTGGCCGCTCTCGTCCTGGCCCGAGATCAGGGAGACCATCTCACTCAGGAACGGACGCAGGCCCAGCAGCGACTGCAGGGTGGCGTTCTGATAGCAAGAGTTTCCGCAGTTGGGTAGGCCGATATACAGAGGGTCCTTACCGTCCTCGTCAGAGTCGAGCGGTCGGATGGCCGGGATCAGCTGCAGGCCGCGACTTGCCGTCTGCGCCTTACTGCAGTGCAGTTGCGGGTTCTTGCCGCCCTCTCCGGACTTGCGCGGCCACGGCGTCGGCCGCATCTGTGGACTTGCAGCGAACCGCGAGCCACCGGCGTCGGCCGAGGCACCGTAGATCCGGCGCGAGCCGACGCTGGCCACCTGCAGCCGCTTTGTGTTCTCCTTGTCAGCACGGTCCGGGCAGCTGGGTGCCCGCTCCACCGATCGCGGACGCTTGGCCACGGACAGATGCGGCGAGTCGCCCTCTCGTCGGGAGGCATCGCTGAGCCGGCGCGGCGACGGCGACTCGTGAGGGTCCTTGTCGGTCTCATTCGAGTCAGTTGCTTGGACGACCGGAACAAGATGCTGATCAACTGGTCTTTGCTTTTCTTCTTCATGTGGTTGCTGCCGCCTGTTTCTTTCTCCGGGGTTACGAGGCTGACCTGACGACATTCTAGGCCTCATTGAGACGTGCCTCTCTTGCACCGAGGAGGCGGTGGCTAGAACGGCGGCGGCGTTTCCCCGGATGATGGCTAGAGACACCCGTTGACGCAGCCAGGTGACTTCACGGCGATCTCCTGTTGCCTCGGTGATCCTCCTTCCGAGCTCCGAAAGGAAGGCGGAGGCTGCTGGGCCCAGGATGCCGGTAGTCTCCACTGCCAGAGGGACAAAGATGTGCTTCTCAGCGATGGCCATGTATTTGTCCCGTTTGCGGCTTTCTGCTGCAACGGCAGGTGAACCTGGTTGAAGAGCAGCATTGACCACTGCACTTTCGGCGAACGTATCCACACAGGTTGCGTCCCATGTGAGACTTTTTCCGCGCTGGTAAGGGAACAGGGTGAGCCCATCAGGCCTCTTCCCATCCCCTCTGTCCAGACCCTGTGGCTCAAGGACCGAGGGCACTCCTGCACTGGACAGCGCCCGCTTCACCACGTCATTGAGGTTAGCGTGACGTGGGAGGCGTCCGACTGACTTCTTGCAAGAGAGCCCGTGGCGTCCATAGCGGTCCACTGGGTGGCAGCACTGAGTGCAGCTGTGCGGCTCGCATACCGGAGCCCCCAAGCGTAAAGCCACTGCGACTCTTACTGTCTCAGCATCCAAGTGGAGACCGAGACTAGCCGCAGGGATCGCCTGCAGCCAGGCGGCTGTGTGAGGTGTAGAGGCTGCGAGGAGACGGGCTCTGTCCACTTGGTTTGCTGATTCGAGTAGCGCATCTCGTGCCATCCCGCACACCAGATCGTCCCACGGTCGTTGATTGGATGCCTGGTCTCCTTCTGGGACATCATCTGAGCGTATGAGCTTCTTAAACTCATCCAGAGCCGACTGAAAGGCCAGAGACGCTTCATTTCTAGTGTTAGGAGGACTGATAGAGGCTACCAGAGACGATGCGGCACGCAGAGAAGCCAGGTAGCATGGGAGAGACAACGACTCGACAGATCGGACGCCAAGCCCCCCGTGCCTTAGAGGTAGTGATGCCTGATCCCAAGCTGGCCCAGATATGTTGACGTTGGTGACATCAGACAGCGTTGACCGAACCTCTTCGTCAATCTCGTGAAGGTCAGAGCTGACTCGATACAGCGGGCTGGACCTCAACAAATAAGTGAGGCGGGGAGCCGACACGTAATGTGCCAGAAAGAAGAGGCCCGTGTGACGATCAAGCAGACGAACGCGCTCACATAGTTTGGAGATGGCTTCGGCTACCATGGCCACGGCGTCTGGGAGGCCGTCATCATGCAGGGGAGATCCTAACAGCTTTAGGCGGGCAACTGAGGCTTCTGAAATCTCAGGAAGGGTTCTTTTCACTTCCTGTATGACCGATTCGTGTTGTTCCGATCCCAGGTTACCCAGAACCGACACCTCACATTTGGTGGGGCTTAGTTGTAGGCCCAGATCTGGGAGTGTTCTTGTGATCAAGCCGAGGTCGGTGACTACATCGGCGACAGGACCACCAATTGTGGCATCATCTAAGTACCATATGTTAAGTGGCGATTTCAAGCTACGTGCGCATGAGTTCACAGCTAATGCAAATAGGATCGGACCCAGTGGATCTCCTTGCTGGACTCCGGTGGATGACCTGACTCTGTGGCCAGCCATTAAGAGCGGGGTGGGTGCACTGTACGATTGATAGACCATCGCGTAGATCTCTGGGCAGGTTTCCTTCACACAGCGCAGCAGGACGTCACGCCTTGCAGAATTGAAAGCGTTCTTAACGTCGACCTTGACCAGTACTCGTGTTTCCTGGTCCGACGAGCTGCTTATGAAGCCCCGCACCGCATGCACTGCTGCCTCGCAGCCGAGAGGAGTGCCTACACCGAGTTGCACGGGTCTCAATTCAGGACCGAGGAGATCAGCTGCGAAGCGTGCGGCGATGCGTGCTGGAAGGCGACGGTAGACGCTGCCAACAGCGATCGGCCGCAGCCCACCGTCTTTCTTTCGGAGGGCACACAGAGATGCACAGTAGAGGACATCACGGGCGCACAGTGGGATGCGACCAGCCAGGACCAGGTTGGCGAGTGCTGTTAGAGAGGTCAGCAGGCGCGAACCGGCCTCTCCTGCCTCTGTTGAGGTGAGCTGCCTCAAGTGGAGGGGCCTGATGCCATCCATTCCGCCTGCGGAACCTGTGGGCATCGCAAGAATCGACTGCTTGACCTGACCTTCCGTGACCGTTAGTGGGGGCGTGTCCGTGGTGCATGGCGGTGGTGGCATGTCTTCGTCCTCCGGGGCGGGTGGATGTTTAAGGCGCAGCATGCTGATGACCTCTTCCGTGGGCTGCGCGAGGGATTCATTAGATGTGAGTATTCTAAGCGCTGATCCGATGTCACCATCTGCGCATTTCGCATGCACTCTACGGGCTATATCCTCTCTCAAACTGAACTGCGGGGCCACCCTGTGCTGGTGCTCTCGATCTTCAGTCCAATCAGAGGATTGTTCTTCGACTACCTGTCGTTTGATAAGTGTCGCGAGGGAACATGTGCGCTTGGTGCCAGGGTCTGGGGATTTCAGAGCGCTAAACGCAAAGGAAAATAGGCGTCACCAGGCATCCACGCCGGAGCTGGAGACAGCGTCGTTTATTCGCTCTGAGAGACTGTTAGCCACTGCCGCTCGTGCTGGCTTCGGGATGAGTCTAGTTACTCTTGTAGATTCTCGGAGTCGAGCCAAACCTGCCACTATGTCGACCGACTGTGAGTCTTCGATCTTTTGGCGTGTCTTCTGTCCAGTTTCTTTGTCTTGAGTAGAACTGCTGTCCTTTTTCACACACGTTGAGCAGTGCCACACGGCAAGGGCCCGTGACTGAGCTACGGTGAGCTTTGCGCAAGAAGTGTGCCATCGCTCACCGCAACCAGAACAGATAATCGCAGCCTTGCGGATCGATAAGTTCTGGCATGCTACGCAGTGTGCAGTGTCTCCTCTGGGTTTCGAAAGCGATGGCATTGTCGTGACCGCATCTCCATTCGTTTTGTTTCGGTTTTGTGCTTGGTTGGAGGATTTTGAGCTAACTTATTTGGTTCAGCCGGGTTTCCGTCATAACATCCGACATAACAATTATTAGCGCCTCTTCATAAATGGCATGCTCAATATCCATTCAACATTTGTTTAAATGGAGGAGTCACGCTCACAACGTCACGTTTCTTTAATTACTTTTTTGCGAGAAATTATGCATGCCTCGGTCAAACTGATTTTCGACAAAATTACACCAAAAAAAAGCCAAACTTTAAACCAATAGATCACTGTGGCTTCTTACCTACATCGCTTGATATTGCGGCCCCTGGGAGAGAATGCATCAACTATTCTTGCTATCAAAACCGCAGCCAGAAACGTTCATCTTCAGTCCTGAACAGCAAAGAACAAAGTCTGCGCCAAAGATCGTCTCAGCTTATCATATTTGTCGAAATGAAGAAGTAGGAGGCTTGTGAGCATATTTAAAAGTTTTGAGGAAGCTTCGTTTGGCTACGTGGTCCAAACAGCAAAAAATAACTGTTCGCGGCACATTTTGTGCAAATGAGTGAAAAAATAGCAAAGATATGAGAAGAAGACGTAAGGAGCTGTTTTCCCTGTCAGAGTTCCCTGTCAGAGGAACTCTGACAGGGAGTTCTGACAGGGAAGTTTTGCAATTTCCCACATGCAAATTTCCCACAATGCATGTGGGAAATTTCCGTTATTCTACGTAAGACTCCGCTCGCTTCGCTCGCTCCGTAATCATATATTCATCGTACAGTGAGATAATAATGGATTGGTGTCTTCGTAGTTTTTGGCGACATTGAGCTCAGGCCTGCCATCTAGCGGGAGAATTGTCGTAAGTTAGGAGCAAGCCGAGTGAACGTCGCTGATTAGCATTGTGACACACGGGAGTGTGGTGTAGTAGCAGGCTTGTTGTGCAATTTTTCAAAAGGTTATGTCTTCATATGTCAGTAAAAGCGAAGAAATTAATAGATTTATGTGCAGGGTCAGTAATAAGATAAGCACTGTAGGGTGTGTCATTCTGTATGGTTTTCTCTTCAATGTTATGGAGACAGCGGTTTTCTATGTCCCATGGCCCTGGAATGTCGACCTGTCAGCATCGCAGCACTTAGAATGCAAAGGCAACTGGCCAAGGACGACTTTTCTGCGACGGGCCCGAATCTATCTTTTCGACCCCAGCGCCACCTACTCATGACTCATTTCTATGGTGGCGCCACCTAGATCAGATGTTTGGCCGTACCGAACCCTGTCCGAAATTCATCGGTTTTTCGATGTTCGACAGGTGAAACATCAGCATGCCGCTAAAATTTGTCGTAAAAGGTATTTTTGTTGTTACTGTGCATTTTCTGTGTTCTAAAGACATCATCAATTTACACACTTTTATTACATTGAGAAAACATTATATTATTGTTCTAGACTGAAAAAAAAATTCAGGCAGCAGATGTAGGGATTTCAAGCATCGGAACCTGCATCCTTTTATTGGTCCCCCCCCCATGTACAGACATTACGTTAATCAAACTTACTCTACAATGCCCGCCTGCCACCCGGGTGTATTAACCCGCGCACCGACGGGGGTCTGCGCCAACTTAGTACCGACGGGGGGGGCGGATGACCGCCCCCCCCCTGAGATCTCGAGAACGAAGCAAGATAGCGACAAGCGGTAAACGGCATCGGATACGCACGGTCAAGATCTACAATTTTTACAAAGGTCATTTTCAGGTCAGGTCAAAGATGACGTCACAGGGGTCAAAAAAGTCAAAATGGCGGCGCTAAATATGGAGAGAGTTTTTCTCGAATAACTTTCGAATTAGTCAAGATAGGAACAAACTAAGGGCATCATCGTGATCCTCTCGTCAATCCGCATCGAATGATATATATGTTGGCCTCGAAAGGTCAAGGTCAAAGGTTGACCTCAGGTCACGTGACCTCGAGGTCATCATGTATATCATTCGATGCGTCTTGACGAGCTGAACACAATGAGACCATCCACGCGTCTGTATCTTGTTCCTGTATGGAGTTATTGGCCAAAAACCTTTGGTGACCTTTGATGACGTCACATGACCTCACAGCTGCCCAACAGCAAAACAGACCTCAAGGTAGTGAAGGTTGATCGTATATGAAGTCATGTATGGTATATGGGGCCATTCCGACCCGTTTTAGTGGTAAAAACAGGGAGTTGATTTTTCCCCCATTGACTTATAATGGGGAGGTCGCGAAATTGACCTGACCTTAGGTCA